ACACTTCTCGACATCCTTTACCATTTGTTACACGTTTTAATTCGTATTCCATCCACCAAGTAAGATCGTTGGCTCCAAAATTATGGGAGTGCCCCTTATTTACTGGACCAAAGCAAGGGCGAATTCCGAAAAGGGGAGGTAGGATGGGTGAGTCACAGGCATCTCTACCCCACTTTTAAGCTTGGCTGAAGAGGACCATTGTGTGTTTGTTTTATAATTGATATGCTTGTCATAATTATTTCGTAATTGCCCCTACCCCCCTTTTACCAAATTCTGAAGCCACCCATTCCATTTTTAACACCCCACTAAACTCAACCACCTCTTCTCTTTTGACTACTGGATTGACAGTACCTAATATAAGTTGAGTATCTCACTCACTAAGGAACTTTTTCTTTTAAGATTAGCAACGCCACATTAAAAAAAATGTTTTTAGTCTCATCTACATTTAACATGAGTGCCCCACATTAACGTAAAATTGCAATATGTTCACTAAGTGATGCTGAATGTAAGCTGATTGCGCAAGACCATCCCGACACGTCACATCCGATGGTGACATTGCGCAATACCTACTGAACATGCATGAGAACAGGATATAGATTAATACCAAAAACCTACGGTGATGACACATTCTATTTTTGAAGATGAATGTTAGAACGGAAAGTGGTGTTATCCGCAAAATAACACTTACAACATATGGGGCAGATAGGGGGGGGGGGAGTGAGGCACCTTGCAATCCAGACAATCGTTTGATAATTTTGAAAGTAAAGGAATACAATAATAGCATATTTGATTAATCACTGAAACTCGTCTTTGTATGACGATGAAAAGAGGCTGTATGCGGCAGTAAAATACTGATGCACGTATAGGAAGATTCCCCACGCCCTCCAAAATAATATAATTCATATCAATGGAATATAACTATTCTGTAACCATGGCACTAATATATGCCAGCTTTAGCTCTCGAGTCCGTCTGCCTACACTACCAAGAGCCGATGAGATCATGATGCACTTGGAAAACTCCCCCACCCCTAATCATGTTGATACTAAAATGCCCGGGAGCAAAGCAACGATATTTTTTTGCGGATTTTAACCCCATAAAATACTATTTATGCACTTTATCCTAGTAGTTTCGGAAATGGCTCATCTGTTTTTCAAATAAACATCTGTTCTAATACACTTACGAGAGAGAGAAAAAGGGGCGACTGATACGTAGCCGCATACTAGGCATTCAAATAGCAGTTGGCCTCTCTCCCTTCTCACAAACGTTCCATTTTTTAAAAATATAGAATTTGGAAATATATGCAAAACAAATTTTGAAATTTTAAAGAAAATCACATTTCTAACAAGTTCATTTTCTGCCCTTTCATATGAAACCTCAATCAGGAAAAATGAGCCAGGAATAACAAAGTTCTGTTGAAAAAAAGTAATGCTTGCATTTCCATAATTCGATTTAACGAATTCGTTTTCATTTGCCTTTTTGGTTTCCTCTGTACAAATCAATTTCAATTACTCATTCATGAAATATTCATCATGTGAGTTGCATCAAATGAAGAAGGAGGAAGTTTTACAAATATGTGTCATTTATTGATTATAATTGCGGTTAAGTTATGATAAAACATCGATAATTCTCGGTTTCGTTTTTTTCTGGGACGCACTGTATATACGTGTAAACGATTATATGTCTGTGCAGGGAGATCCCTGGTCTGTGGGAGAAACGTAAACATTGCACATACCTGGGCTGAATGATGGGACAAATATAAACGTCTCGGAAGGAGACTAGCGTCATAGAAATGGGACGATTTGATATTGTAGCAGACTTTGGACATCAACCATATACAGTGCGTCCCAGAAAAAACGAAACCGAGAAGTATCGATGTTCTATCATAACTTAAACATAACTATAATTAATGAATGATACATATTTGGAAAGCTTAGAGTCTCCTCTTTCATGTGAAGCTACTCAGAAAATGCATATTTCACGCATGAGTGATTAAAAGCAATTTGAAGGAAGGAAACCAAAAAGACATTTGGCTGGCGGTATCTGAATTTCGAAGAAAAACTCACATTTCTAGAAAGTTCAGTTTCTGCTCTTTCATATGATACCTCAATCAGAAAAAATGAGAGAGGAATGACAAAGTTCTATTTGTTTAAAGTAGTGCTTGCATTTCCATAATTTTATTAAACGAATTCGTTTTCACTGGCTGCCTGCCGTATCAATAAACGAAATTAACAAAAGACTTAACTCCGTTTTGTTGACAATCAGCCGTAGAAGGGAGTCTTCAGGCTGATTGTCAACGAAACGGAGTTGTCTTTTGTCAAATCTGCTTTTTGCTACGGCAGGCACCCAGTGAAAACGAATTCGTTTGTTAAAATTATGAAAATGTAAGGGCTATTTTAAACAAACAAAACTTTGTTATTCCTGGCTCATTTTTCTTGATTGAGGTATCATATGAAAGAGCAGAAAATGGAATTTCTAGAAATATGATTTTTTTTTTTGAAATTTAGATACATTTTCTGGGTGGCATCAACTGAAAAAGGAGACTCTAAGCTTTCCAAATATGTATCATTCATTAATTATGGTTGTGATTAAGTTATGATAAAACATCGATACTTCTCGGTTTCGTTTTTTCTGGGACGCACTGTAGATATACACTGTTGCAAATAAAGTTGGAATATTTTTTTTACCCCAATTTATGGAATTATTTTGACAATGAATTTTTTCGTAATAGATCTAGATTATGGTAACCCGACACCTGCTCCGGCGACGATTACTCCGGTGACAAATGCTCCGCAAAAAGCGACAATTAATCCGCCGACAGTTGCTCCGGCAGCTCCGCCGACAATTGATCCGCCGACATTTGCTCCGACGACAATTGCTCCACCGACATTTGCTCCGCAGACAATTGCTCCGCCGACATTTTCTCCGCCGACAATATTGCTCCGCCGACATTTGCTCTGCCGACAATATTTCTTTCATGTGTTATTGTTTTTGTTTTGTTGTTGTTATTCAGGGTCGTAGAAAGCATTTAAAGTTAGGGGTGCATTTTAATTCCCCAATCAGGAGACACTGATTGGAAAAAATGATAAATCTTTACGAAAGACGCAATCATCCTTTTCATAATAACTGAAAACCATCTTCCTGCCTACCACCCCTTTTCTTAATCAATGATTATTTCACGAGTATGTAGGCCTATATTTTATACACCATTTTATTTATCATTTTCCCCGACGTGTCGCGACGTCGTGCCGGCAGAATTCACCGTCATTTTATATTATACCGACACCGTTCCGACACAAAGTTGTTGGCCAATGCAAAAATATTGAAATTAAATCTTCCTCTATCTATTTTGTGTCCCTTTTTTGCTTGTCTTTAGTCTTTTCTTTTCTTAACCATTTCTTTTTCATGTTTTCTTGTCCTTTTATTTTCCATTCTTTTTTTTCGCTGCAAAAGGGAGCTTTTTTTCTTTTACGGAGCACTCCTGCTACGGCGGCGGAGCATTTGTCTTCAACGGGGTACTTTGAGGAAGGAGCATTGTTGGAGCATTTGAATTTTACAGGGCAATTTTTTGGCGGAGCTGTCGGAGGAGCAATATTGTCGGCGGAGCAAATGTCAGCGGAACAAAAGTCGGCGGAGCAAATGTCGGCGGAGCAATTGTCGGCGGAGCAAATGTCGGCGGGGCAACTGTCGGCGAAGCATTTGACGTCGGAGCAAATGTCGCGGAGCAATTGTCGCTTTTTGCGGAGCATTTATTGGCGGAGCAATCGTCGGCGGAGCATGTGTCATGGATTCACTAGTATACATTCTCAAACTTTATTGAATAATAATTTGCCAGTGTTTGTTTTGCGTCACTGATTAAACATGTGTATTGCTACTATGCTTATCAACTAGGGGACCTACGCCCTTAAGTCATAAATGACGGTAATGAGGATTAATGCTCCACAAAAGGACACTATAGCACATCGACATAGTTTTGATCCTGGGGCCTCACAGTTACGAGGCCATTGCTTTGTCACTGAACCATGACTGTTCGTAGCGGGGGCTAGAATACGGGGCAGTTCCTACAAATAAATAACAAACAAAGAACATGCAATGAATTATCAATAATTCATTGAATTTCCCCCCGATCCCCAACAGAAAAAAAAATCATCTGTGTGCCCATAATGCATGACCGTAGCCATAGGGTTGTACCAAAATAAGGCATTTTATCACATTGTTTGTGATTATATATGATATGTTATAGTAGTCGAAGACGATGATACAATCAAACTTAAAATGAAAGCAAAACAAAAAAAATGAAAGGCAAAATTGACCCACCAGGAATCAAACCTGGGTCACCGGAATAGGAGTCGAGTGCTTTAACCAATATACCAAAATATGTCTCATAGACAATATATGCAAAGCTGACGAACAGCCTTGGCTGTTTTGATTCAATTTTATAATTTTCTCAGTAAAGATGTATACTTTCTTGCACATAGCATCAAGCACTGCAACTGTACTAAACATGTCAAGTAACATAGACTCAATGTTATCTGACATGATTGAACGTAACTCATGAGTTTCATGTAGTGAGTGGCTATATGCTCCACTTGATTGATCAATTTCTGGAATGTCTTCCGAATTGCATTGTCTATGTCTCTAAAAATCCATGATGGTTGTATATACTTGTATACTATACTATACTATAAATAATATAGTGTCAACTTGAAATCAAAAGAAGTATTTTAGGCCAATTTTAGTCAATTTTTAAAGAGCGGCTCCACTCACTCTTTAACACATATCCTGCCATCCCCGCAGAGGACGCCCAAACAAGTAGTATCAATGTCATAATAATGGGCATGGGTATGTTTGTTTGAATTAATATATGAGCCAGTAGATTAATTCAATTCAAATAAAATCAAATATGTTATAAAACCTAATCCATATATTCTTATAGAATCATATGTCTCTCTGTATACTCCAGATATCTGGAAGTTGACAAAGATGTGGGGTGATGATGACGATGACAACGGAGGCCGTTTTGCGTCTCGTCCTAACTCGGGAGATGACCATGGAAGGGGTAGACGAGGAGGATTTCGAAGGGGTGGGACCAGAGGACAAGGCAGAGGAGGTGCTACGGGTGGAGATAACGTCATGGGGAGAAGACAGAACAGGAGGGAAGGAAGTCGTGATAGAGGAGACGCCACGATGGCTGACAGATTCGGGGGAGATAACTTTCCAAGAGGAGGAAGGGACACTGAAGGAGCGAGAGGAAGGGGACATGATGGAGAGAGGGGAGATGGAAGGAAAGTTGAAGTCGAAAGAGGCGGTAACAGAGGAGGCCCATTCCGCCAGCGCTACAACGACAGGCAACAAGCCGGACAGCGAGGCGATCGGCCTAGAGGCCGTGGTCAACGAGGGGGCCACATGGATCAAAACGTAGCTGGATCTGGAAGAGAGGGCTATCGGACACAGGAAAATACTAGGTACTTTGTTTCAATAGGCCGATATGGACCAATATTCTCTTACACAATAAATATGTCTCTAACAACTGAATAGGTCAATATATTTTGTTTAATGACGACGCCTACTTGTAATGAAGCAGAAACTAATCAGTTTGATAGACATTGTACACAATTAGCCCTGTAAATGTTTTATACACTACTTCCTTCAGCTTCTCATGACAGGAATATATATCAATATGTATATATTCACACCATTTCATTTCTACCCTTTCAGATATGGACAGACCCAAGGTAGATACCCCAAGAACCAAGGTAACTTCAGACCGCTTAGTTCCAGACTGCTCAGAGAAATACTCGAAAAAGACCCTTCTGAGGCCGCTACAGAACTTGGGTCCCTGACAGGAAACCTTCAAGCCGGTCTCAATGAAGACTCGATGGATGAGGTACGACAACATCTCATTTGGAAGGCTCTAGCATTTATTTGCGGAGCTCTAGGTGCAGAACAAACAGTGATCATGCTCCTGACAATGGCCCTCGACTCCAAACTCTGTCGTCAGCATTTACTAACGTTTTTGACCAATCTCAGGCGTCCAAGAGAGAACATCGACGCAAGGCGGTTAAATCTTTTGAAGAATGTCATCACTGTCTTCCACTCAGCCATGCAAAGTTTGCCAAGCCGTGCTTCAGATCTCAAAGTTGCAGTCACTCTCATCTCCGATGCTGTAGCAGACATGGACGAAGACGACAAACGTGATGACATCATGGAGTCAATAAAGTCGTTGAATAGTCACATTAAGGACATTGAAAAAGAAAGGGAAAAGAAGAGACAGATGGATCGCATTTCTAAGAACCCACCCCCTGACGACTTCCGCCAGCAAAACATTCTTCCCACTGTCAAGGAATTGCAACCCGGATATCAGCCGTTTCTCCGCCCTCATCTGACGAGAGGTGTATATGCCGATGCAGATCACTACCTGGATGTTCAGTTCAGACTCCTGAAGGAAGACTTCATCTTTCCTCTTCGCAATGGGATATCAGAGTACCTAACTTTCAAGAAGGCGAACCCTGACAGACGGGCCAAACTTCAGGATGTGCGAATCTACGAGGAGGCTCACTACGAAAAATCTGTCCGTGATTTCTCCGGAATTTCACATTACTTGTCTTTCAAGAAGTTACCTCGTGTCCGATGGCAATCGACAAAACGACTCATGTACGGATCATTGCTCATTCTATCAACGGATGATTTTAAGTCCTACATATTTGCTACAGTGGCCAAACGGGAGGTAGCAGATCTAGAAAAGGGGTTAGTAGCCATAGCATTGGTCGACCGAGAAGATGAAGATACATCATGTCTACTAAATAAAAGTTTTGTGATTGCAGAGTCATCTGTCTTCTTTGAAGCTTATCGCCCAGTTCTCCTGGGTCTCCAGCGAATGTCTGGCCCATGCTTGCCGTTTTCCCAGTACACTTTGAGCATGATTCATGATGTAAAGCCACCCAAGTATCTCCAAGATCAGATGGTAACTGAAGACGATGAAATGTTCATCTATCCACGTAGCATCGATATCTCACCTCTGCTGAAAGGCAACCGACGATGCTCTCCAATAGTCACCGTGCTTCACGATGGTGCTTGGCCAGATATTGACGATGTACAGCTCGACCAATCACAATATGAAGCTGCCAAGACTGCTCTCACCAAAGAACTTTCTGTCATACAGGGTCCACCAGGTACCGGCAAGACGTACATAGGTCTAAAGATCGTAGAGACTCTTCTCCTCAACAGAGAAGTCTGGTCAAGTGAAGAAAACCCTAGCCCAATCTTACTTGTGTGCTACACAAATCATGCACTGGATCAGTTTCTGGAGGGTATCTTAACATTCCATGACACTGGCATCGTTCGAGTTGGAAGCCGTAGCAAGAGTGAGCAGTTGCAGTCCTTCAACCTTAATCGGATGGTCGGTCGGAGGGGAATAAACGATGAAGAGTACGTTCAGCGAAGGGTTCGTCATGTCAAGAAAGAAGTTGACGCTACAAGGAGACGAGTGGAGAGAACGCAAGCCAGGATAGAGGGTGCAAGAAATGGGATCATCAACGAGTATGAACTAGGCCCTTTTATGTCATGGCAGCATTACAACAGCCTCCTGCGTCTTTCCCATCTGAAAGAGTCAAACTCCTGGCTTGTAGATTGGCTTCTCTGTGAGCGTCATAATGACAGGGATTGGAACCAGCAAGAGAAACGGGATACGCTAGAACAGAGAGATAACCTGCAAGAAGATGAGAAGGAAGAAACCACAAAGCATGTTCCTGTGGCAAATGAAGCAACAGTCGAGGTAGAATATGAACGAAGTGCCATCGAGTCTGAAAGAATGCTTGATGACGAATATGGTGTGGAAGATTCTGATGAAGAGGAAGACGAAGACTATCCTTTCCTAGGCCTTGACTTAAATGTTCTGAACAAACCAGAGCACGGTTTCTTGCGGAGGTTCATCCAAAGGAAGATGTCTGGCAAAGATGTCATCGATCCACGTGCTCTTCAATCGATTATGGATGTCTGGAGTATGCGTCCAAATAATCGATGGGCACTCTACCATATTTGGTTGCAAAACTACCTCCATCACTTGAAAGGGAAACTGCAAGCATATGACCTCAAATTCAAGCAACTTTGTGGTCAGCTAGATGAGGCAAAAGGCGTAGAAAAATACCATGTCCTTCGACAGGCAACTATAATCGGTATGACTACAACTGGAGCAGCTAATCACCAACAGGTTTTGCAGAGAGTCCGGCCAAAGATCGTAGTAGTAGAGGAAGCAGCTGAGGTACTGGAGGCACACATCACCACGGCATTAAATGCATCATGTCAACAGCTCATTCTCATTGGAGATCATCAACAACTTCGTCCGAAACCGAACGTGTTCCTCCTGGCCAAGAAGTATCATCTGGACGTTTCATTGTTTGAAAGACTTATCAACAATGAATTTCCTTACTCACAGCTTGAGCTGCAACATCGGATGCGTATCGAGCTTTCGGGTCTGATGAGAAGGCACTTCTACGACAACCTTCATGATCATGACACGGTGAAGCGATACGAAAGTGTGAAAGCAGTTCAAAAGGATATCTTCTTTCTAGATCACGCAGAACCAGAAAATGAAATGGAAGATACACAGAGTCACTACAATCTCCACGAGGCCGGACTCGTAGTAGCGTTGTGTTACTACTTCCTGCAGCAGGGGTATGAACCTGATAAGATTACAATCCTCACAGCTTATACAGGTCAGCTACTGAAAATCAAGCACATGATGGATCGGAGCAAGTTTGAGGGAGTCAAAGTTACCTCAATAGACAACTACCAGGGAGAAGAGAATGATATCATTCTTCTGTCATTTGTGAGGAGCAACAATCATGGGCGCATTGGATTCTTGGGGATTTCGAACCGAGTCTGTGTCTCCTTGTCAAGAGCAAAGAAAGGGCTCTACTGCGTTGGAAACTTCACCCTCTTTGCAGAAAAGAGTGAGCTATGGAAGGGAATAGTGAAAGATCTAGAAGCAATGGGATCTATCGGAGATTCCCTTACGCTGCAATGCACCATTCATTCAGAGGAGAGGACAGCGGTGAAAACTGCCGATGACTTCAAGAAGGTACCACTAGGAGGATGTAGTAGAGACTGTGATACCAGGCTTGATTGTGGACACGTCTGTCGATTAAAGTGTCACCCAACGGATCTAAAGCATCTCATCTACAAGTGCAAGGCTCCTTGCTCCAAGGTTATCTGTGAGAGAAACCACAAATGTCCAAAGCTTTGCTCAGATCTTTGTTCGACCTCTTGTTCAGTCATTGTGGAGAAGATCCTGCCCTGCCGTCATGTCTGTAAAACGGAGTGTAAGACCGATATTTGGTCCATCACATGCGAGGAAAAGGTTGACAAAACTTTAAGTTGCTTACACGTCCATCTTCTCCCATGCCACATGCCAACTGAGGGACTTGAAAAGAAGTGCAAAGTCCTTACCAAAAAGGAACTACAGTGTGGCCACAGTAAGACAGAGAAGTGTAATGGAAGTGGTAGATGTGATGAGATAGTCTTGAAAGTTCTGAAATGTAACCATACCTGCCAAGCAGCGTGCCATAAAGATCCAGAGGACATCAGATGCAAGGAAAATGTTAAGAAAACATTGCCATGTGGACACACGCATACTCTTCTCTGTTCCGCAATTATTGACAATGTTCGGTGCAACACGATTACCCTGAAAAGTCGCTCATGTGGACACGAAATCATAGAGGAGTGCCGTCATAACAGTAAATGTTCCGAAGTAGTAAAGAAAACCTTGCCTTGTGGTCACAAATTGAAGATGATTTGTTCGACCGAAGTAGAAACAGTAGTATGCAAAGCAAGGTGCAGTAAGGAGCTTCTATGTGGCCACATTTGCAAGGAAAGGTGTGGGGTGGATTGCACTGAGAACTGCACAGAGATGATCACCAGAGATGACTGGCCATGTGGTCATGAGGTAACCGTTAAATGCTGCGAAGAAAGCGACGCATGCTACATCGCCTGTGAGGAGATCTTGATATGTGGGCACAAGTGCAAGGGGACCTGTGGAAAATGCTCACAAGGTCGTTATCACCACCCCTGCATTGAGACATGTAAGAAAAAGCTGGTATGCGGACACAAATGCGCCCTCAATTGCGGTGCACCATGTCTTTCCTGTAAAATGAAATGTCTGCGGCGTTGTCGTCACACGCAGTGCAAGCATCCGTGCAGTGAGCCATGTGATGTTTGTACGAAACGTTGTAACTGGAAATGTGAGCATCACGAGTGCAAGACGTTGTGCTGCGAACCTTGTGACAGACCTCCATGCAATAAGCCCTGTTCAAAGAAACGGAAATGCGGTCACCCTTGCATTGGTCTGTGTGGTGAGATCTGCCCCAATAAATGTCGCATCTGCGACAAAGAAGATTTGGAGCAACGCTTCTTTGGGACCGAAGATATCCAGACGGCAAGGTGGGCTGAATTTTATGGAACCAGCCTATTAGAAGATAAATCAGGGAAGACGCCTACAAGACATATGAAAAGATACGACTTTAAATAATCTCATTCTGCTTCATGTTAAAAAAACTAAATCATACAATATGAAGCTTAACCTGTGGAATTTTCCTGCTCATAGTTTAGTCATTACCATTACATGTCTTTGTAAAAAAAAAAAGATCTCAATGGAATAAAATATCGTACTTCGATAATACATCTAGATTTAAAGCGCTCGTCATGCTCCTTGAAAGATAAATTTTAATTATTGGGAAAGAAGTCGAGCCATTTAATACATTTCCTTAAAACTATATGAGAATATGCCAACAGCAGAGCTAGATGCACGATTTAACAAATTTCTAAAATTCTTTTGCTACGTCTATAGGTATATTCAACTAGAAGACTGTGGACATTACTTTGAGGTAGAAGGACTTGACAAGTTCCTGGGACTCGGCATAAAATCCGACGGTGCAGAAATATTTACCAAACTATCGGTAATACTACATTTGTTTTCATGAATTATCGATTAATTTGTCATTTCACTCTTATCATTCGTATCATATCACAATACTTTTAGTACGCGTTGTCGTAGATAGATATTATATACTTATAAGGGAAAGACACACCTCTTAATCAAGAAGGACAAAATGAAGAAGCAGATGTATGTGTAAATGTGTTAAAAGTAGAAGAAAAAGAACTTGGCATAATTCATATAACTTATTTAAAAATAATATATTCTTTTATCCCTTAAAGGTAAAGACCAGTTATGGTCATGCGAATGCATTGTGAAAGAAACGTTATGGAATCGATCAGAAAAGGTTAATCATCTAGCATCTAGCATCTGCAAGGTTCTGGAATCATCAAAATGATAAGAAATTTGGCCCATTCTTCGTAAAGTTACAAGCACTATACACAGAAAGATGTATATGGGACTACCCTATATCTCTCACAGACCATGAGAGAAACAAATTTACCAAATATATGAATTAGTAGGCGGTTTCCCGGCAAATTTTTTATCATCATGTATTAGTCAAAACATATTCTTTCACATGATTGGTAATGAGAGCTTCCATTTCATTTTTTGAAATTGGGGCGTTTCCAATACTGGTCTTTACCTTTAAAGTGTTTGATGTATCAGTCAGTTTGGGCTTCATTGATCATTGTGACACTGTGAAATTAATATAGGTTTTTATTTTGTATCATTTTAAAGGTAAAAACCTGTCCAAGATGCGAAAAACCCATCCAGTTAAGTCGTCGCTACAGTAATCTTCTGAGAGAATCTTTAGCGATTAAGCCGCGAATCGTGGAAAAGCTACAGGATGCTCGCAATAGCAATGATGACAAACACCTCCTCCTTAAAGTCAGCTCAGCCGTCATGTCGGCGAAAGAAACCATTCGGCTTTTGTTACCCAAATCACCATTAGCGTTGAGTAAATACTCGCTATCATCGCGATTCGGTAGAGATTTGGTAGAGAGTAGAAAGTCATCTATTTTGGACAAGCTTCATGAATTACTCCAGGCATCAACAGAGGAACTGCACAGGCATACCAAGTCATTGCCGAATGTACTCGTAGATCAGCACGCGAACGACCTCTGGAATGAGATGAATCGAGTGACGATCATGTGTGACTTGGCCGAAGTACTGAGGGGCGGAGCAACAGAACCAACCAAAGTACCCAAACTTCTCAATATCCTAGGCCGGGATATGAATATGACATTAGCACATGACCTCCTCAATGGAATTCGCACTGCTAATGGAATCAGTCATGATACTGGCAGTGGCCTACATATTTTCAAACGCACTCCACGTCTTTCCTTCGACGTAACCATGTGGTTTACTTGTGCCAAAGGACATCCCGTTTCGAATCATCATCTCAAGAAGGGCGCATGCAAGGACTGCGACTTGGAGAAGGATGAGCAGGAGAGAGCCCGCTCCGAGGCTTCTGCAGCTGTAGGACGCCCTAGAGATAATGTACCTGGACAGCGAAATTTAGGTGGTCAGCAAGACCAGCGGCGTAGGGGACGAGGACGTGGAAGAAGAGGTCGAGGTGGAAGAGGTGGTCGCAGAGGAGGACATCAAAGAATCTATGTCCCGTGTTATGCCTGAATATGCGACCAGAATCTTCGTACATCATATACTGCTAGACATTTTGCAGGAAGATGTACACAACCAATATCAAACATGGTTTATGAATTCCACTGACCTTCGTATCATAGATGTTTATCCAGATATGCTGTATTGAAAGATTGTAATCGATTCAAGCTATTATATTGTTCATTGAGATAAATAACGCGTGAGGAAGTATTTTTAATCTGTTAAGAATGTATTGATTTAAATATCCTTTATCGAAATTAATTTTCCTTATTTATTTGAAGGGCTTTTGAAAAATATGCGATACTACAATGTCCACAGCAAAAAAAAGAAAGCATTTCATGTGTCATTTAAAGGATTGAAATTGTAAGAAATCGAAACAATTGGAATGGACCAAATGAGTACTGGCTAGGCTCTAAAGGAGCACAAATTTGGCCTGAGCAGAGAAATGCTAATTTAAGAGACTGCGTCAAATTACATGTAAACCATGATTTTTGCATGTGCTTTATGAGGTATGAATAATCGTTTTGTAACATATGTAAATATTCTTTATATTTTCTGTTTTTATCTCAATCGGACCATTTGCTCTATATTCCTTCGCTTCGCTGCCCGCATAATACTAAAACATCACTCGGCTTTATCAAACAATGATATTTTTCTGTTGTCCATGCTATCAGAAAATTGGTATTTTTTTAGTGCGGGTTTTTTCAACCGTACCGGCGCATAAAAATATGTTTTACCAAGCCTTTTCTTTGTGAAATACTTAGTAGTATTGTAGAAATTTAGAAGAACACAGACAAATATTTGTCTCATTAAGAATATAATTCGTCTCAATATGTTGTAAATAGATCTCCACTGTCTTGATCTTCAATATACATGCACTTTAGGTATACATTCGTTTACATCAAGTAGGAGTAGAGTATCACAATTGGATAACAAATTGGAACTTTTAAAATAATGATATTGATCGGATCCAAACGATTCAAAGTTGTTTTAAAGCCATACTGTACTAGAAGCCCTACCGCAATATCCCTCTTAGCGCCCACTCTGGTCAAATGTAGCAGTATGGTCTCGTAACTCGCTGCTTATATGGCAGAGCTGTTGGTTTTCGCATCGAGTCCTCTGTCTGCGAAGTGGAAATTAGTTATTTGGTTATACATTGTTGGCAAGTTGACCGTGAGATGGCGCTGTGCAATTAACAGTCTGCTAAAAGACAGAAAGTTCATCAGTTCAGTACTGCTTTAAGATGACGCACATGTGAAAAAAATTGTTGCATGTGTTTAATATGCAATGTTGATAAGGTTGAACTTCATGTACTTTTAAACGTGTAGTGACAGGTGAATTTTGAGAATTAACATATGAATGTTGTCTCTTGGTCCGTATTACATGAACAACCATCCTACTCAGAAATTGAAGCATTGTTAAACACTACGATTTTCTATTATAACCCCACATGATGTAAATAGAAAATAAGATGTACATGAAGTCTATTTCGTGTAGAGCAGTGATTCATACTGTCACGTTTCATGTTTAAAGTTTATTTGAATATTACTCATGCTTTTTTTGTAATCGATAGGTTTGATTAGAAGCGATGATACTATTAAGATGAAAAAGATATACAGATATTATGTTACTGTATTTATTCCAACAAAATATGGTTAAAACTTGAGCATTGGCTGTCTCGTAATCATGTACATATTAAGTTAATAAAAACAAAATAAATTGTTTGGGTTTCATTGAAATAACAACAGTGCAAACAAAAAATTGCAGCCAAATGCAAACATTGTTTGCCGGTTTTTTAAAACAATATAAGCGATAAAGTGTTATTATGATATGGAAAAGTATATATCTATATATATATATATATATATATAAAACAAATTTGAAAGAAAAGACATTCATGAACAAGCGGTTACCTTTTACAAAGTGTTTCTAATTGTTTATTTCTTCTGAAAAAAAATTAAATCTTAAAAGTAAATATGTGGTATCTTAAAAATGAACTGCAATTTGTAACTGATATTTATAAATGTATGTTCTTGTTATCTTTTGAATGGCCAAAAATCGATCATTTTGAAATTGTGCATGTATATATCTCTTCCTTTATACACATTTGAATGATATTATGTATTATTAAAAGGAACCCTGTGAAAGGGAACAAATAGAAATAAAGATAAAATGAAGAGGATATATATACTTCTAGGTCATGCAGTTGGTGAAAATTATCTCTCGTATCTATTGAAATATGAGAAAGAATCGGTAGAATATGTACAACATCAATATTATGTATAAACATCAAGATTGTCATTAAAGGCTTTGTGTAATTATTCATTACATGTTGAATAAATTTCCATCACCTAATACCAATAGTTTACTATTATCGTTGTAAAGGTTTGAGAAGGAAGAACAGTGTATTAGATGAAAGTCGATCAAAGAATGTACTTCCAAATTGAATAATATTGACAAGTGACACGTACTAAATTATGGAGAAATTATTCTTGTCAGAATTCGGGAAGAAAGGTTGACATTATATTATTATACTGACTTTATATCCTCACGGTTGTTTATTATAATAGCATGGTTGATTGGTATTCAATTTTATGATGGAGATTTATTCAACCTAAGTTTAAACTCACACGTGTTCATGAAATAGAACAATGAAACAAATGTATTTTTAAAATTTAATATGTTTACTACTTTTTGTTTGGACCAAACTTTCATGCCAGATGTGTGTGCAGACAGTGTCATATACTAATTTTCGTACGCGGTTCTTGTGATTTTCAGCAATATTCAGTCAATTTCTTTTCTTTTTGATCGTTTCAAACCTCACAGCAAATCACTCACGCACAGTCATATGTTTTGCATATTCATTTCAGATTTCGTTCACATGACTAATGAACTCAAGTTTTTGTGTTTTTGCTGTTGTTCAGAATCTTGTAACGAATCAATCTCCGAACATTGTTCTACCACTGTGGTATCTGTACTGTATCATCGAGTCGGTGGTTTTCCTCATTTGCAGGGGCGTTGATCCATCTACATTAGGGGAGGGGGCATTGTACACACATGTATTAACATGTCTTTGTGTGTGTGTGTTTGGTGTGGGGGGATCTTAAATGCTTCAGCTCATTCCAACATAGAAACTACGAAATATTCTGTCAATTGTCACCTCATAGTTACTAAGCGAGGAAGTCTCTTTCTCATTAGCATCATAAATTACCAAATCTACATCGTGCTAATAAAAAGTTGGTCGCCCCGACACCATTTGTGCAGTCCTATATACATCTTTCTGTGTGCAGTGCTTGTTCCTTTACCAAGACTGGTACAAATTTATTATGATTTTGATGACTCCAGAACTTTGCAGTGTACACGAAATACTTACATGCTACATGATCAACCTTTTCTGATCCATTCCACACCTTTTCTTTCACAATGCAATCGGATGACCAGAACTCACCTTTATCTTTAAGGAAACAAAAGGCATATCATGGTAAATGTGTACACTATGGGGGAAGAGGGATGCTTCTATCAAACATAGTTGATATAATTTACATTGAGATTTCTTTCAGTCATAACTCGAAGTATTATTGCATAGGGTTCAAAGATGACGAACTGGGTGCAACAGGGGACTCAACAGTTTGCCTATAGTCGAATGGTAGAGGAAATAAAGAGAGAGGGAGAGAGAGAGAGACATGGGGTGGGAGTGTTTGGTGAAACGAAGGTGAAATGACACTTATCCACACTCTTTCTCAATTGCTAGGCGTTTTAGCTCGCATTTCACCCACCATTAGACCGTTACCCCCGAACAATGACAGTGTCTTTATTTACTAGACCCGTTTGAAGGCGAATTCTGGGTAGGGAGGGGATGGTTGGGTCACAAGCGTCTGTACTCCACTTTTTGGTTTGGTTAAACAGGACCATTGAGTGTTTTTAAAGTTATTTGCTTGTCACAATTTTTTCGTAATTGTCCGTCCCCCTCTTTTACAAAATTCTTGCACCGCCCATTACACCTTTAACACCCCATACCTCTTCTATTTTGACTATGCGATAGGCAGTACCTAATATGAATTGAGTAGGTTTCATTACTAAAGAACAATTTTTTTTAAAGATCAGCAACGCCACATCTAAAGAAAATACCTTTAGTTTCATATATCTATAACATGAGTGCCCCACATTGAAATACAATTGCAATATTTTCACTAAGTGATGTAGAATGATATGCGGATTGCACAAGACCAATCTGACACGTCACACATGCATGGTGACATTGCGCAATTCTTATTAAACATGCATGAGAAAAAGAATGAATTACCAAAGACCTGCGGTGCTGACACATTCTATTTTTGGAGATGAATGTTAGAAAGGAAAGTGGTAGTATCCGCAAAATAACACTTATAATATATAGGGGCACGCTGGGGGGGGGGGGGCATTCAAAAAGTGGTTAGCCTCTCTCCCCTCTACCAGATGTACAATTTTAACGTGAAATACAGATTTTTTTTGTTGTTGAAAGATATGCTAATCAAATATCATCAAGAAATTATATAAAATGCAAAAGATTGAATACTTCACAATGAGCGGGGAGGGTCGACGGTGCTCTGTATGGTTTAAATACAAAGACTTTGGGTTAATTTTACATCTAGAGTACGATATTGAAGGGGAGGGAGTGTTCGTGACTGCCCCCTCCCCCCACTTGGGGATCCAGGGGGGGCCCCACCCCTGGGAAAAAAAAGAAGGGAAAAAAAGGAGGAAAAAAAGAGAAGGGAAAAAAAGAAGGAAAAAAAAAGAAGGAAAAAAGAGAGAGAGAGAGAGAGAAGGGAAAAAAGGGAAAGAGGAGAGAGAGGGAAAGAAAGAAGAGGAAGAAGAAAAGAGATCGGGGGGGGGGGGGGGGCAAAATGGCCTCGCCTCCCAAGCTGTCGCCTCCCCCCCCCCCATACAAAAAATAAGAGAGAAGGAAGGAAATGAAAAGAAAAGAGGAAACGAGGAGATAAAGGGAAGGAAAATTGAGGAAGAAGAAAAGAAAAGAAGAGTGTCAGTTGCAATTTTTCCGTGGATCGGGGTGGGGGTGGGGCAAAAGGCCCTTGCCTCCCCCGCCCGCTAAAAAAAAGAGAGAAAGAAGAAAAAGGAAAAAAAGGAGAGCTAAAAGGGACCGAAAAAACCCGTGTGGATAATGGGTGGGGGCCGAAATGACCTTGCCTCCCCCTCCCCCCCTCCCACAGCAAACCTAACTGAGAGAGAATAAGGGAAGGGAAAGGGAACGAGGAGAGAAAGGGAAAGAAAACAAGAGAAAGAAGAAAGGTAGGGGAGATCAGTTGCGATTTTCCGCTAACAAAGTGTAGATCGAGGGGGGGGGGCGGAGCACTGGCTTATTGATCGGGGAGGGGGCTCGGGGGAAATAAAATTTAAACGTGGTTTATTTCTAATTCCATAACGGTCGTTTACACATAATGCTAAAAATGACATAATTTTTCGAGATTTTTCCTCATTCTTTAGTAAATTATACTTTTTTTATGCGTTTGTAAATTAACAGCCAGGCAAGATACCTACATGTCAGGGCCCGCGGAACGGCGGGGATCGGGAGCCTCCAGCTCCCTCCCCCCCCCCCCCCAATTTTTTTTGGAAAAGAATATTAAAGAGAAATAGAAAGAAAGAGAGCAAGAAAGAAAGAATAGTTAACTGCCAGTGTCACAACAAAATAAGGTATCAAAAAATGCTCATCTGACCGTAATTAAACGCCTAAGACCTCTGAGCTTCCGGGGGCTCCGCCCGCTGGTCCTTACGCCAATCAGTGTCCTGTCA